ATGTACTTTAATTTTTCGATTTCTCAACATCTCGGTTTATCGATTATTAGAATTTTTCAATTTTTCGATTTCTCAATTTTTTAACATTTCAATTTTGGGAATTTGTCAATTTTTCGTTGTCTGGGATTATAAAGATTTCGATGTTTCGGACATTCGATTGTTCAATTTCTTGATTTTTCGATCTTTTTATTTTCCAATTTATCGATTTTCCTAATTTTCGATTTTCCAATTTTTTGGTTTTTCAATTTTTTTTATTATTCGATTTACTTACGGAATTTTTAATTTTGAAATTTTCCAATGTTTTAATTTCTAATTTTTTGCTTTTTCGGTTTTATGTTCGATTTTTGGGTTTTTCGATTTTTGATCTTTTGATGATCGATTTCTCCAAATTCAGGTTTCGATTTTCCGATTTCTAGGTTTTTCGATTTTTCGGATTTTCGATTAATCAATCTTCCAATTTTTCGTTTTTCCTATTTTTGATGTTGCTATTTCCAGATTTTTCAGTGTTTAGATTCTTCAGTTTGTCGACATTTTAATATTTCGATTTTAACAACTTTTTAATTTTTAGGTTTTCCAATTTTTTAATTTTTCATTTTTCATTTTTTCGATTTTATGCCCGATTTTTGGGTTTTTCGATTTCTTGACTTTTCGATTTTTGATCTTTCGATGATTCAATTTCTCCATATTTCAATTTTCGATTTTCCGGTTTCTAGATTTTTCGATTTTTAGGTTTTTCAACTTATCGATTTCCCGATTTTTCGAAATTTCAGTGGAATTACTCAATTTCTTGATTTTTCAGTTCTTTTTCTTCAATTTTTCGAAGTTTCGACATCTCGATTTTTCGATTTCTTAATTTTTTAACATTTAAATTTTGGGATTTTTTCAATTTCTAGATTTTTGAACTTTTCCTTTTTTCGATTTCTGAATTTATTGAGATTTCGATGTATCGATTTTTCAAATGTTCAGTGTCCCTTTCGATCTTTTTATTTTCCGATTTTTCGATTTTTTAATTTTTCGACTTTTCAATTTTTCGATTCTTCAATTTTTGGACAATTAAATTTTTCGATTTTAACAATTTTTTGATGTTTAGATTTAACTACTTTTAATTTTTGAATGCGTACTTCAATTTTTCGATTTTTCAACATCTCGGTTTCTCGATTATTAAAATTTTTCAATTTTTCGTTTTCTGGATTTATAGAGATTTCGATGTTTCGCTTTTTCGATTGTTCAATTTTTCGATTCTTTAGTTTTTCGACATTTTAATTTTTCGGTTTTAAGAAGTTTCTTATTTTTCAAATTTCTTATGATTTGATTTTTTATTTTTTTTATATTTCAATTTATTTATCGATTTTTTTACATTTAAAACTTTCCAATTATTCAATTTTTAATTTTTCGCTTTTTCGATTTTATGTAATTTCGAGATCTCACATTTTCGGCTTTTTAGCTTCTGGACTTTTCAATTTTTGATCTTTTGATGAATGATTCAATTTGTCGCTATTTCAGTTTTCGATTTTCCGATTTCTAGCTTTTTCGATTTTTCGGATTTTTTAGCACTTCAGTTTTGAAAATTTTTCAATTTGTGCATTTTCCAATTTTTCGATTTTTTCGTTTCGATTTGTTTAATTTCCCTTTCGAATTTTTTATTTCGGATTTATTGATTTTTTTAATTTTTCGATTTTTCAACTTTTTGATTTTCCAATTTTTCGAGATTTCAGTGGGATTTCTGAATTTCTCGATTTTTCAGTTTTTTTATTCTTCAACTTTTCGATTTTTGGACATCTCGGTTTTTCCATTATTAAAATTTTTCAATTTTTCGCTTTCTCAATTTTCTTAACATTTGAGTTGTGTCAATTTTTCGATTTTTCACTTTTTCGATTTCTGAATTTATTGAGATTTAGATCTTTCGATTTTTCGATTGTTCAGTTTCCTTTTCAATCTTTTTATTTTCCGATGGCTCGATTTTTTTAATTTTTCGATTTAGGTCCATTTCAATTTTCCGGTTTTTCGATTTTCCAATTTTTCGATTTTTTGATGTTGTGATTTCTCGATTTTTCAGTTTTTCGATTCCTCAGTTTTTGGACATTTTAATTTATCGATTTTAACAAGTCTTTGATTTTTTAATTTTTCAATTATTTCATTTTTTGATTTACTTATGAATTTTTTTTAATTTAAAATTCTCCAATTTTTCAATTTTTGCTATTTCGACATTTCGATTTTTCGGTTTTTCGACTTCTTGACTTTTCGATTTTCCTATTTCTAGCTTTTTCGATTTTTCGGTTTTTCGATTTATCAATCTTCCAATTTTTCGATGTTTCGACTTTTTAACTTTTCAATGTCCTAATTTTTCGAGATTTCAGTTTTGGGATTTCTCAATTTCTCGATTTTTCAATTTTTCGATTCCTGGACATCTCGGTTTTTCGGTTATTAAAATTTTTCATTTTTAGATTTCTTAATTTTTTAACATTTTAGTTTTGGGAATTTTTCAATTTCTGCATTTTTCAATTTTGCAATTTTTCTGGATTTTTAAAGATTTCGATGTTTCGATTGATTTTAAATTTTGAGTTTCCTTTTCGATTTTTTTATTTTCTGATTCATCGACTTTTTTAATTTTACAATTTTAACCCGTTTCAATTTTCCAATTTTTCGATTTTCTAAATTTTTGATTTTCCAATTTTTGGTGTTTCGATTTACTTTTAGATTTTTTTAAATTTAAATTTTCCCTATTTTTAATTTTTAATTTTTCGCTTTTTCGATTTTATGCTATTTCGACATCTTGATTTTTCGGATTTTCGACTTCTTGACTTTTCGATTTTTGATTTTTTGATATGTCGATTTCTCGATATTTCAATTTTCGATTTTCCGATTTCTAAGTTTTTCGATTTTTCGATTTATCAATTTTCCGATTTTTTGATATTTCGATTTCTGATTTTTCAGTTTTTCAGTTTCTGGATTTGCAGAGATTTCGATATTTAGATTTTTCGAGTTTTCGATGTTGACATTTTTTGGTTCTTAAGTTTTTGGACATTTTACGAAAAAATATGAAATGAAAACTTCGAAAGATATAAAAATTGGAAATAAAGGAAATTTAAAATATTGAAAATTGAATAAAATCCAAAGAAACATTAGAAAAAATAGTGAAATAAAAACATTTGTGGAAGGTTATTTCGACAGAACTTCCCTCGCTCCTGGAGTACATTTTTCCGAAAAATTAAAAAATTTGATTTTGTGAATTTTATTTTTTTATGACAACCCTTAGGGCCGGTTGCATAAACGCAAATCAAATTTAATCTCTGATTAACTCCATAGTAACGATTGTTATTATCATAGTTACAATTGTTCTTAATCAGAGATTAAATTTGATTTGCGTTTATGCAACCGGCCCTTAAAGTTGGAAGTCCTGTAGCTTGTCACCTGCGAAAACTCCTTTAGATAATTTTCGACGCTGCTCGAAAAAAGTAAAAAATTTTATAAAATCTCGTACTTAAAATTTGAAAAGTTACTTAAAGATTCACAAAAATTCTAGAATAAATATCTCGACATAAGTTAATTAAAAGAACATGGCTTTTTGATAGTCCCGGACAAAGATTATGGAGGTTTTCATTTTCAAAATAAAATTTTAAGTTATTCTAAAAATTGTCATATTTAATTTTAGCGATTTCTGAAAAATAGTAGAAATTTTCGAGGAAATAAATCCGACGGTAAAATTTGAAGCTTGGCATCTGCAAGAACCTCATGAAAAAATAAAAAATTTCAATTTTGTCCTTCTTAATTTAAATTTAGTGTCTTGGTGACTACACACTTTACAATTTTTCAGATATTGACTTTATTACAAAGGAAGTAAACACATGACAACAAAATAAATTAACAGAAACATTTCAGTAATTTATTTTATTAACTTGATCTTTGCATACCGAAACTGATATTTATGCACTTGAAAACAAGTATAAACCGCGCTTATCACAAACAAGTTTGTAGCTCCACCGACAACATAAAAAATGCCACGTGGAAGTGAATTTACGTCACTTCAAAAAGAAATGTTGTGTTCTATTTAAATTAACCATTAGCTCGGAAAAGCCAAGTAGCTAAAAGCCAGACCTGAGCGAGCTTTTATAAAAACACAAATTAAATTTAAGTGTGATTCACAATCACAATATGCGCTTTTAATTCCTAACTGCATTAATTTTAATCTCAGTCTGCGGAATCATGAAACAAGTTTGTATTTTTTTTAAGTAGACAAGCATTTTTCAAATTGTATTTCATGGCCAGACCCAACTTCCCTTGGAAGGTAATCGAGAATGTAATTATCGAAAAGCAATCAGCACAGATTTAATTTCAAGCCTTCCGAAAAGCAATTTATCCATTTCCGGCCGAAATTCCTCGCTCCTCGGATTTGCGTATTTAGACAAAACTGTTTACAACATCTTGATGTTTTGCATATGAAAACGTAATTCGACGTTTATGTAACTCAATACTAAGAAAATTATAAAGCAGACACAGTATTCACGATTTGCAACGAAAATCGTTCTCGGAACAACAACAAATTGAGTGTGTCGTGACGTAGATCATGAATAAACGAAAATGTTGTTCTTGACCTTTTAAATCAAAGCGGAATTACAGCTCTCCTGAATTCGAATCCGCGCTAGCAATTTTCGCAAAGTCCAGTGGCGTAACTGTATTTTGAAACACAATCATTTATTGTTTTACACTTGTCACACGTCGTGTGCACACGAAAACACCTGTTGAATTGCAAAATCGCATAATTCTTGGTTTCAACAGCGACTGGCACACTGACATACCTGCGTTTTTAATGACCCTTTATTATAAACTAAAATAAAAACTGTCGATTTGTCAGGGCTCTTAAGCGGAAATTCGCAAGGTCGATGAAATAACGGCGCTAATTCGAATCGTCCCCGACTTTCTCTTTTACTTTTCTTTCTGCGCCGAAAAAACCACAGAGATGATGCGCTTGAAAATTCAAAAAGAAGCGCTTTCTCTTTTACCTTCTAACACGAACCAGGTGAAAGAAATCAGACCACAACAGATATTCCAAAACATTGTTTTTGGTTTGGTTCACTCGAAATAAGTCCACTGAAACACTACATTTTTTCGCCGGATTTGGAGCATTAGAACCGGATCGGGATGTGCTTTGATCGATCGTCGAAGTCTCCGCGTTATGGTCAGTCGCGTCACATTTTCACTGGGTTTTTCGCGGCAGACACTGCGGAAAATTGTTGCACTGGATGGGTGGGCACGGTTTGAGGGGTCGGGCCGAAATTCAGCCTTTTTCCTTCATTTTGACGAAAATTTAGGCGGCCATACTCGCTCTGCGCTATGGCGAACGCGCTGCAGAACACTGAATGGAGTAGGCCATGTGAGACGGCTACCGTGACAGGTATTTCTTTAGAAAGTTGATTCAACACATTGGTGTGGTGGAATCTAACGGGACGCTGAAACGCGCAAAATTCAAATCGAGAAACTCGCTCCATTGGAATTAAAACAGGCAAAATTTGGACGAGTTCGAAAAAATGTCACCCATTCTCTGGTAAAAGTGGCTTAATTGTTTCTAATTCTTATTACTTAAGTCACAAGTGTCTCCTTCCACCTGCTGTCCGCATTCTTTCTTTCCAACTTTTACCAAATCCGGCAAAAGCGAGAACAAGTTGGAGTTTTTTAAAGGGTGCGGTGAAGTTCGCCAGGTGCGTATTAAGATGCGATTGGTGCAACTGGATGACGTTAGTACAGATCAAATATGTGGAGAACATGTTAAATACACACTCTAATTTACGAGTTAAAACATTCGTCAGCGCAGCACTTTTTTTCTATCGAAAATTGATACGCAAACAAAAATAAAAGAATGCGCGAAATTGGATCAATAAATATAAAAAAGTAAACCAGTGTGTGGCAGACGGAACAAAGGTCGTGTCTGGATCGTCCAATGATGACCGTGAAACTTTTTTGTTAACATACGTTTGTTCTTTGTAATTTTTATAATAATTTACTTAGAACTTGTTTAATTGAGATAGATAAATAACAAGAAATATACGATCTTGGTGTAATTGGTAACCTTTCTGTGACATAAAAGGACAATAGATTTTTTTATGATAAAATTGTTTATCAGCCGCAATGTTAAATGGAAGTCTAGGTGACAAATCAGCAAAAATTACTTACAACTCGACACTATTTTTGATAAGACTTTAGTCACGTAATTGTATAGATTTTTTATCAAATTTATATTTTTTATGATTAAATGATTAATTTATACACCTAAAATGTCAAAGGAAACTTGTTTCATTTTTTTCTAATTAAAAGAAACCTCAGGGTTTGTCTTTTGAAAAAAAAAATAAATAAATAAAAAAAAGAATGTCGAATTCCGAAGTCTGTTTTTTTTTAATTAAAAAGTATCTTGGAAATCTCTGATATTTTCTTTAAAAAAAAAACTGAAAGTATGTTAGGTTCGATTTTTTTTCAACTTTAGGACCCTTGATGCTTTAAAAATAATAATAATAATAATAATAATAAAGAGTCTGGATTTCCCGGTTTTTATAATTAAAAAGAATCTTGGAAACATTGACATTTTTTTTGGAAAAAATTTAATGAATCTTAGACCACGAGTTTTTTTTTAGAATTAAAGATCTCCTTTTTAACTTAAATAAATCTCGAGTTTCTGTTTATTTTTTTCTTTATTAGAATATTCAGGGGTTGCTTATTTATGAAAAAAAGAAAGAGCCCCAGTTTCTAGCTTTTTCTGAAGCATTAAAAAAATATTCAAACCCCTGGTGTTTTTTGAGGGAAAAGGAATGTCGCATTTCCGAGTCTGTGTTTTTTAATTACAAAGAATTTTGGGGATCCCTGATATTTTCTTTTTGAAAAAAATTGAAAGTACCTATATCAGGTTCCATTTTTGTTTGTATTAAACAGAATTTTCAGTTAGATTTTTGTTTTCTGGCAAAAAACACTTTGGGTTAACGAGTTTTCTTTTTTGAAAATTAAATGGCCCTTAGTGTTGTTTTTCTGGAAAAAAGAAAGATTCTTATAAAGAGTGTAAAGTTCCTATTTTTTATAATTAAAAAGAATCTTGGAAAGCCTTGACATTTTTTTTTTTGGAAAAAACTGAAATAATCTCAGATCCTCGAGTGTTTCTTTCTTAAGAATTAAAAAGAATCTCAGGGTTCCGAATGTTTTTTTTAGCTTAAATAAATCTCGAGTTTCCATTTATTTTTTTCTTCAATGGAATCTTCAGGAGCTGTTTTTTTGTGATATGAAAAAAAGAAACCGTCGGTTTCTAGTTTTTTTTTTGAGTCACTAAAAAGAATATTTAGACCCTTGGTGTTTTTTGAGAGAAAAAGAATGTGGAATTTCCGAGTCTGCTTTTTTTTAATTAAAAAGAATTTTGAGATTCCCTGATACTTTCTTTAAAAAAAAAAAATGAAAGTATATCGGGTTCCATTTTTTTTTTTTAATTAAGAAGAATCTTCCCATTTTCTTTCTGACAAAAAAATGACTTTTTTGGCTTCCAAAGTTTTTTTTTTGAAAATTAAATGGTTCCTGATGTTGTTTTTTTTTTTGGAAAAAAAGAAGGATTCTAAGAATTTCAGATTCCCAAGTGGTTTTTTTTAAGAACCATCGGGGACCTTGGTGCTTTTTTAGAAAAAAAAAAAATAATGAAGAATCTGGAGTTCCCGTTCTTTTATCATTAAAAAAAGTCTTGGGAAACCTTGATATTTTGCTTTTAGAAAAAACTGAAAGAAACTCAGAACCTCGAGGGTTTTTTTTTAGAATTAAAAAGAATGTCAGGGTTCTAAATGTTTTTTTTAGCATAAATAAATCTCTAGTTTCCATTTGTTTTTTTCTTTAATTCTTCAGAAGCTGTTTTTTTGTTTTATGAAAAAAAGAAACAGTCTCGGTTTCTAGTTTTTTTTGTCACTAAAAAGAATATCTAGACCCTTGGTGTTTTTTGAGAAAAAGAATGTGGAATTTCCGAGTCTGCTTTTTTTTAATTAAAAAGAATTTTGAGATTTTCTGATACCTTCTTTTTGAAAAAAAAAATGAAAGTATATCGGGTTCCATTTTTTTTTTAATTAAGTAGAATCTTCTCATTGTCTATCTGACAAAACAATCACTTTTTTGGGTTCCTAAGTTTTTTTTTTAAATTAAATGGTTCCTGGTGTTGTTTTTTAATGAAAAAAAGAGATTCTAAGAATTTCAGATTCCCTAGTGTTTTTTAAAGGACCTTCAGGGACCTTGGTGCTTTTTTAGAAAAAAAAAAATAATAGAGAATGTGAAGTTCCCGTTCTTTTATCATTAAAATAAAAATTTTGGCAAACCTTGATACTGTGTTTTTGGAAAAAACTGAAAGAATCTCAGACCGCGAGTGATTTTTTTAAGAATTAAAAAGAATCTCAAGGTTCCGAATGTTTTTTTTTAACTTAAATAAATCTCGAGTTTCCATTTATTTATTTTTTCTTTAATAGAATTTTCATGGGTTGTTTTTTGTTTTATAAAAAAAAATAAAGAGCCTCGGTTTCTACCTTTTTTTTGAAGCGTTAAATTTTGGGTATCCTTGTTATTTTGTTTTTGAAAAAAAAATGAAAGTATATCAGGTTCCATTTTTTTTAAATAATATTCAGGGTCCATTTTTTGTTTTCTGACAAAAAAAATTACTCTTTGGGCTCCCGAGTTTTTTTTTTTTGAAAATTAAATGGTCCTTAGTGCTGTTTTTTTTTTTGGAAAAAAAGGATTCTAAGAATCTTAGATATCCAACTGTTTTTTTTTAAGTCTTCAAATAAATAAAGAGCCTGGAGTTCCTTTTTTTATTTTTATAATTAAAATTAATCTTGGGAAGCCTTGACATTTTGTTTTTGGCAAAAAACTGAAAGAATCTCAGCCAAAGAGTGTTTTCTTTTTAAATTAAAAAGAATCTGAGGCTTCCCAATAACTCAAGTAAATCTCAGGTTTCCATTTTTTTCTTTTATTAAAAGGAATCTTCAGGCCCTGTTTTTTTTTGTTTTCTGAAAAAAAAAGAAAGAACCTCGAGTTCCCGTTTTTTTTTTTTTCTTAAAAAGAATCTCCTAATATTTTGTTTTTGGAAAAAATTGATTGAATCTCAGACCCCGAGTTTTTTTTTTTTTTTGAAAGAATTAAAAAAAATCTCAGGGATCCGAATGTTTTTTTTAACTTGAATTCTGAATCCTTGATATTTTCCCCAAAAATTCACTTTTGGATTTTTAAGTCTTTGTTTGAAAATTAAAGGGGCCAGGGGTTGTTTTTTTTTTTTGAAAAAAAGAAAGAATCACTTTTTATAGATCTCCAAACTGATTTTTTTTTGAGAATATTCAGAAACCTTGGTGCTTTTTTTTGAAAAAAAAAAACATCTTGGGAAGCATTGATACTTTGTTTTTGGAAAAAAAATGAAAGAATCTCAGGCAACGAGTGTTTTTATTTTTTGAAAGAATTAAAATAATCTCAGGCTTCCGAATAACTCAAGTAAATCTCAGGTTTCCATTTTTTTCTTTTATTAAAAGGAATCTTCAGGGCCTGTTTTCTTTTTGTTTTCTGAAAAAAAAGAAAGAACCTCGAGTTCCCGTTTTTTTTTTTTTCTTAAAAAGAATCTCCTAATATTTTGTTTTTGGAAAAAATTGATTGAATCTCAGACCCCGAGTTTTTTTTTGAAAGAATTAAAAAGAATCTCAGGGATCCGAATGTTTTTTCCAACTTGACTTCTGAATCCTTGATATTTTCTCCAAGAAAATCACTTTTGGATTTTTAAGACTTTTTTTGAAAATTAACGGGGCCAGGGGTTGTTTTTTTTTTTTTTTGGAAAAAAGAAAGAATCACTTTTTATAGATCTCCAAACTGATTTTTTTTGAGAATATTCAGAAACCTTGGTGCTTTTTTTGGAAAAAAAAAATCTTGGGAAGCATTGATATTTTGTTTTTGGAAAAAAAAAGAATCTCAGGCAACGAGTGGTTTTATTTTTTGAAAGAATTAAAAAGAATCTCAGGTTCTCAGTGTTTTTTTTAACTTAAGTATCTCGCGTTACAATTTTTTTTTATAAAAAAGAATCTTCAGCGCATGTTTTTTTTTTCTATTTTCTGAGCAAAAAAGAACCTTGGGTTCCAGGTTAAAACAATGTTGAAACTCTGGTGTTTTCCAGGTGTTTTTTTTTTTTTATTTTTAGTTAAAAAGTATCTTCAGGGACTCTGGTCATCTGTTATATTTTAATATCGTCTTCCCTAGATTTTTATTAATTAAAAAGAACTTTGGAAACCCCTGATATTTTGTTCTTGGAAAAAACTGATTGAATTTCAGATCCCGAATCTCAGGGTTCCGAATATTTTTTTAACTTAAACAAATCTCGAGTTTCCATTTA